CGAACCTTTAATAACTACTCTCTGAGGCTATTTCTAGACTACACCGAAGTTCCGTAAGAGGATATGTAAATTCCATGGGAATTTGCATATCTTCTTCCGCTCACGGGATCTCACTTTCAAAAGTGAAAGTAGTTGGGATGCTTTTTTTTTAAAAAGCCACTCTTCCTCAAAAACTAAGGTTTACGTAGCTTTTCGAAAAAGGAGGGGGGTTGCCGGAAAAAAGGCCACTTTTTATATGACTCCTTCTTTATTTTTAGATCATATAAGATCTCCTGCTCGATCCTAGGTGGTCTCTTGCCATACTTTCTGTCTTTTCTATGCAGTGGAATAGTTGGCTTTTGGGCCCTTAATAATGTCCCTTTAAAAAACTGCCAACTCTCTTCAGTTGTTTTTCCTCTTACTTTTGCTTCCCATGGGATCTCACTTACCAGCTCTCTGAGTTTACTAAATTCTGACTTCCTGAAATCCATTGTCTCTATTTTGCTGTTCTACCTTCTACCATTCCTTAGAATCATGAACTCTGATTTCATAACTTTCACCCAAGCAGCCTTACACTTTCAATTAATATAACTCCAGATAATGCTAATGTGAATTATCCAAGCACATCAAGAGATGGATACACACCTTATTTAGATGCCAGAAGGTTAAAAGGAAAATGAGGGATAACTTCATAGAATTTTATAGTTTCAATGAGAAATAGTGGAGAATTCCACAGGGAATGATAAAAAGCTATAAAATCATTATTAAAAGCTGAGCTGAAGTTTAGCAGTGATTAAAATCTATTCTGGTTTCTGGCTTCAAAGCCATCCAAGCAAGTAGTTACTCATTTGGAGCTAAAATCATCAGCAGTCAGCCTTTGGTTCAGCTCTACTGACAGTATGTCCCAGTTATTGTCACACAGCAGTCACAGAATCTCTTGCTAAGGGAAAGATCTATTGGTACTTGTCTCATTGTTTTAAAAAAAATCAAAACTTATGTAAAGTGCCTGATGCATGTGCAATATTTTATCTGGAATATCATCCTTAATAATGTACTCATCCTGATGTATATCGGAGGCTGTGTGTGTGAAAAATATAATAGGCCCAAGCAACAGAACAATCACTTCCTAAAAGCAGATGATAGTACTCCCTTACATTATCTATGAAGGGTGCAGAGAACACTTTCAAACATGACACTTCCATAACTTGCAATTTCATTAAGTGTCTTACAATATTTGATGTTTTTCTTGAAGTTCAACTCCTGGAAGCAAGTTATTTGATGAGAATCTCCGCTTTCATTTAAAACAAATTCTAAGTCACAAGCCCTCATGGTTTCAGGGGGAAAACACTTGAAAATATAAACCTGTATAGCTCAAAAATATCAGCAAGCTCATAAAAAGAGCCCCATATTTATTATTTTTAAACTCATTTTAAATCCAATCTCACATGATTTTTTGGGCCTGCCTCATGATTTTTCAACATATAACATTGGCAGTGCTTCAAATGACCAAGACTCATGGTTGGACAGAAGTTGAGCTTACATCATGCACTTACTCTTTCAACCTTGTGGAAGCCCTTTTATGAAATCGCTGCATCACATGGACCTCACAGGTTTTGTGCTGTGTTTGATGGAGCCATTCAAGAGTCTGTCTACAACATCATAATTGCTCCCTAAATACCTGTGCATAAGCCCATGGGAACTGACGTTTGTCTTGTTAACATTTAACTCATATTGACATTTCCCTGGAAATATAGTTGGGAATGGTGCTAATAGCTAGGCGTTGCTATCTCAGTTTTATGCCTCTATAGATGGCTTGAGATTTGCCAGATATCCCATTAAATTTTGGAACAGTTGTTTTTTTATGCATACCATGGGTAACCAAACATAGAATTATCATAATCTGTCTGTTTTGTTTCGTGTAAAACCTGCCAAAGATCTAGCAAGGTGGACAGCTGTGCAAGAGTAGGTTTAAAGGGATGAACAGAAGTCTGCTGGTCTTCATAATATCTATAAATAATTCTCCTTGTTTTAACAATATTTAATTACTAGATACCCTTTTGGCAATCAGTGTTTGATACATGATCCAGAAGAGTAATAGCTTACCTTGAAAACAAATGAATGTTTACAATATAGATGACAGCTTTACTTTCTCTTTTGTGTGTGAGAGGATAGATTTATTCTAATATTATGTTTCTGACTCTCAGCATCTTACTATGTTAATTTCCCCAACTTTGTATTTAGGAATTCATTTTTAATATAATGAGAGCATGATGCTGTTTTGTTTTTAAACAAAACATAGACATAAACACCACTATGAGTTAAGCTATGTCTAGGCTACACTGATCTATCGGAAAAAGGTACACAAATTGCACCCGTTTTCCGATAGTTTTTTCAGAAGAGGCTTTTCTGAAATTTGGCCCATCTACACTGCATCAAATTTTAGAAAAGCCTCCTCTTTCGGAAAGCCCTTCTTCTTCATGGAAGGAGGAAGACAGGGTTTCCGAAAGAGCGCATCTGCTCTTCTGCAAAAAAAATGTTATTAGGATTTTCTGCTGGTTTTAAGGTTGCCAGGTGCCTGTTTTTTAACCTGAATGCCAGGCTGAAAAAAGGTCATGGTGACTCTGGTTAGCATTGCTGACCAGGCCATTAAAAATCCAGTCAGCAGTGCAGTGGGCTAAGGCAGGCTCCCTGTCTTCCCTGGCTCTGCATAGCTCCCAAAAGCGACTGGCAAGTTCCTGTGGCCCATAGGCAAAGGGGCAATCAGGGAAGCTCTGTGCGATGCTCCAGCCCCAGCGCCGACTCTGCAGCTCCCATTGGCCAGGAACTGAAGACAATGGGAGCTGTCGGGATGGAGCTTGTGTGGACAGCATGTGTTGGGAGTATGCATGGCTTCTTGGCTCTTCTGCCTAGGATCAGACATGCCAGTCACTTCCAGGAGCCACACAGACGCTGCTGTACTGTCAACTGTGAGCCGCCTAAGGTAAATGCCACTCATCTGGAATCCACACCCCAAGCTCCCTCCTGAACTCCACCTCCCACCTCAGGTCAGAACCCCTTTCTGCACCCTAACTCCCTCCCAGAGCCTGCTCCCTAAGTCTCCTCCTGCACTCCAGCCTGCTGCCCAGCTCAGAACCCCCTCCTGCACCCTAAGTCTCTGCCCCAGTCCTAAGCCCTCTCCCAGTCCTAAGCACCTGAACCCTATGCTCCAGTCCTGAGCCCCCTCCTGCACTCCAAACTCCTCATCCTTGATTCTACCCCAATTCCCTGCCCCAGCCCAGTGAAAGCAAGTGAGGGTGGGGGAGAGTGAGTGACAGTGGGAGGAGGGAGGGAACGAGTAGGGGCAGGACCCAGAGAAGAGATAGGGCAGAGGTGGCAACCCTAGCTGGCAGTTGTAGCTGGCTTGTGCATCATCAACTGAATATTTTAATTGTTTTGATTGCAAAATTTCTAATTGCTGTTGATGTGTGAGCCAGAAAGAAGTCATGTGGACTTTTAAATTTGATGTTGCATTTGCAGGGCCAGTGCTTAGTAAAATCATCTTTTTATTTACAAGCAGGAGACATGATACAAATGGAACCTCACAATGCCATTTCCAAAAGCCATGCTATAAGACTCAGGCACGCTTGAAGAAGCTGAAAGGATTTTTATTCTTATTAGATTCTGCAGCAAAAATATTTCTGTGTTACCAAAAGCCCAGTATGAGGTCCAGGCAAGCAGACAGCCAGCAGCTGCAACTTTTATTAGGTTGGAGTCAAAGTAATATCCTGAAATGAAAAGGAAATGCAGATAATTGACTAGCATTTATTTTTGCAAATCATCAAAGTGAGATTGTTATCTGAGCCAGAGAGAAGAATATTCAGCCATATGTGGATGTTACAGACCAGTTTCATCCCTGGTGTGTGTCTATTAACTTCAGTTTAGTTACAGCAGTGATTAAGCATGCCATTTGTTTATAAAAATAGCTTCACTACACAAAAGGGTTAGCTATTTAAATGGTCAAATTAAACAAGATATTACCAGAACTACTCCTTCCTCAGTAGTTTGGAGCTCTTGAATGTATGTGGCTTTAGGAACCCTGGGGCAAGGACCCCAATAGAAATAGTGGGATTTAAACTCATTGCCTTTCAGATATAAGTAGGGTGTGCCAAGCTTCTGTTTTTTGACTGGAACACTCAGTTGAAAAGAGACCTAGCAGCTGTAGTCATCACTGCTGGCCAGGCTGGTCAGTGGTACACAGGGCTAAGGCAGGCAGCCTGCTCTGGCTCTGTGCCATTCCTGGAAGCAGCCAGCATAGGCAGCTCCTGGAAGCAGCCAGTATGTCTGACTCCTAGGCACAAAAAGAGCAGCCATAGTCAGTGTTTCTTCTTATTTTTTATGTCCATTATGTTACATGCAGCCTTCTGGAGTTGAAGTGTGACACAACATGTCCATATAACAAAATTCATTCCACACATGGATGGTGCTCACCCCACCCCCAGCTAGAGCCCTCACCCCCTCCCATGCTCAAACTCTCTGCCCCAGCCCAGATCCCCCTCCCACATCCTGAAACTCTAGTTACTGGCATCACCGTAATGCCCAATCGCCCACCGCCCCTCTCCGGGCCCACAGCCCTTCCACACCACAGCCCACCGCTCCAGCCCAGTGAAAGTGAGTGAGGATGAGGAAGAGTGAGCAACAGAGAGAGGGTGGATGGAGTAAGGGGGAGGGAGTGAGGCCTCAGAGTAGAGGGCAGGACAAGGGTGTTCAGTTTTATGTGATTTGAGAGTTAGGAACCCTAGATATAAAGTAGACTTGGACTGATTTTTAAAAAAAAGTTCATGCTCAAGAAATTAATGGAAACTGGGTGTTCAAGTTCTCTAGATGGCTTTGAAAAGCTCAGATACAGAGTTCTTGTGAAGCATGTTGCCTAATTCTTACCATCTCCTTCAGAAATAACGCTGCCTTGGCTTCTGATATTGGCAATGAACAATTCTTTATATAGAATCTGTGACTTAATATGTATTACTCTTTTTCTTTTGTAGATAATTCTTGTGAGTTCTTCACATAATGACCGAGACCAGAGTCTTTTCATGAGCACAGATGAAGGAGCCACTTTTCAAAAGCAGCCTATTACCTTCTTTGTGGAAACCCTGATTTTTCACCCAAAAGATGAGGACAAGGTGATTGCTTACACCAAGGAAGGCAAGGTAAAGCTTGGGTGTTCTTGACCATCATAAGATGTATTGTATTAACCTAATGAAATTGTCATGGCTCACTGATTTGGTTTATATAAAGTGAGTTGCCAGTGGCGAGGCAATACTCAGTTCATGAAATGTTGCTTTCTTTATTTCAGTAAATTATATAAATCTCAAAATGTCATTATCTTTGTATAGTGTTTCATTCTCTGTCATGTCTTGTTGGTACTGATATTGGCAAAATAATCTTTTCTCTAACATAATTATGGTTAAGTGCAGTCCTAGAAACTTATTTTCCCTAGAAATTGTCCATAAGCAATTGCTCTTTAATTTATAGTGCAGTAGAAAGTTAACTGAGATTAAATGTTAGCTCCAAAGTCTTTCTTGGATTGTAAAATAGAATAAGCCTTTGTTTAGGTATAAAGCAGAACATGATTCCAGGCAACCATGGAATAGAGCTATAGAAAAGTAGAATACGCCCTGTGAGGTATTCAGACAAATTTTAAAAGTCACATCAAATTTATTTGTAGATTTTCAATAGTGTTCTGGATTAATGCTCCTTAAAGTATAAAGATTTATGGCAGGGCTACGGAACCTCCCATGTGCTGGCCACATGTGTGTGGTTTATCAAGCTTAGCTGCTGGCATGCCGTAAAAGTGTTTGTTTATCTGAGTGTGTGCAAGCACAGCTGCTTGCAGCTCCCATTGCCTGCCATGCCTGGCCAATGGAATCTGCCCACCACTTCCTGCAGCTCCCATTGTCCAGGAACAGCAAACTCAAGCTAATGGGAACTGCAAGCAGCTGTGCCTGCAGATGCTCAGTTACATGATTCTGATCTTATTTTCTGTAGGTTTTTACTACAGGTTGGACCTCTGTAATCTGGACTTCTCTCATCCAGCTACATCTCTGGTCCAGCATCCCTGTGGGCACTCCTGGGCTGAAACTCTCATGACGAAAATCTGGGGGAGGGAGAGCAACAGGTTCAGCACTTCCCCTGTCTTCTCAGAACTTCCATAACACCACAAATAGCTCATTTGCAGCTAAGGGAGGGAGATGGGGGAATAGCGACAGGGTGGAGAGGACTCTCAGGGGAAGAGATTAAGTAGCTGTGGAGCCTTGTGGCCAAAACCACAAACACAATCCCATGGCTGGGGGCCAGGAGCCCAAACCAGCAACCACATGGCTCACACTCCCACAGGGCTGCACTCCTGGCCAGGGGGCTTTGCAGCTACCCTGCCTCTTACCCCGAGAGTCTTCCCTCAGTTCCCACTCAGCCAATGCCAGCCTATCTGCTTACATCGGAGCAGAGCCCTGCAGCCGGGGCCATCCTTGACCTCGCTGGTCTGGGAAATTCACTGGTTTGGGACCAGTCAGGTCTCAAGGGTGCCGGACCAGGGGCATACAATCTGTAGAATGACTCCACTGTTATCCCAGATATGTACAACACTGAGTGTAATCAGAATCAGGCCCTTTAAGCTTTGTCATGGTGTATGGAGGGCTTTTTCTCTTGCTTACATGATAAAAGCAGGCAAGTTGTTACTTTTTGCAGACAAGTATTACACAGATATTACTGAAGTTTTATTGAACTGCCTTTCAGGAATTGAATCTAAAGCTATGCTCAGCTGATCACCAGTGGTTAATGCTGTTCCATTATTTGGAAACAGGACTATATTTACATGAAAACATAACAGCTTTGATTTTTTCTAGCTCATCTGCCCTGCAAACATCATGGTGGAATTTTTTGTTTTTAAATTCAGTTTTAGGTACATACCTAATGTTTTGAAAATTTTACAGCTGCAAAAATGTTCACATGGGGAAATTATACCACAAAAGACCTAAATCTGGAAAACTCTGTTTTCAGTTTGGCTTCTGCTGGAATAATCCACCACAAGAAGTGGTGGTGGAAGCTTCCATTAAAATTAGACTGGACAAAACACTAGAAAATGTGCAGTAAGTAAAAGCCTTGTATAGCCAGGAGACGGTTTAGGTGATCTAATAGATCTTTCCTTTCTATTAGTCTTATAGTTTAATAAGTTAATCATAGGGGCATAATAAACCAAATCATTTATTCTTTATTCCAAAAAGAAAGGTATAATTTGCTGGAAAGGGGGATTTACCTGTGTAAATTCTGAATAAGGACTGAGGGATTTGGCCCACGGAGAGTAAGAGAGAGACATTCAAAGGTAAAGGCAAGGGAGAGAGAAGGAAGAGATGGAGGGTAAAATTCAGATTTCACATAAAAAGGGAATCACTGTGTTGAAATCCGTGGCCCAAGAAGTAAAATATACCTGGAGAGATTTCATAGTCTAGATCTTGGAGTTTTATAATTATATTTCTGTCCTAAGTGAAAGAAAAATGTAACGTAATGTTCATAATAACAGGCTCTCAGTTTTACAACCTAAATGTGCAGACTCAAGAAATTGAGCTAATTTGGGTAAACTGAGAAGAAGCTTCCTAATCAGCTCATTAATTGCAGTAGCATTTTTGAGTGTACAAGGAATGTAGGATTGAGTTCTTTGACAAATAGAATCTGTAGGCTTCTGTCTCCTGGAGCATCTGAATGTTCTTGTGATTTCTGTCTTGATTTTAATTCCTACTCTATATAGAAAAACCTGAATTGTTCTGGTATTCAGTAGCCTGTATTTTATCTAAATAAAGCTCCAATCTCTAACTGACACTCTGTAAATGAATACAAATCTAGTCAGTGCAGTTGGGTTAATCCACTTACTGGCTCAAGTCTATACTTTCTTTTTTTGGCTACCACAATAATAATGAACATCAATCAGTTGTTCACTGAGACAATATAAATGCTTGATTTCATTTTTAAGACTAGACAGGCATCACAGGAGATTTTAATTGTTTCTTTGAAAACTGTGAGGGTGGGAAAAAATTAAAAATTGAAGTCATGTATTCTGTGGCCTTATAAAAAGAGACTGCTTTAATGCAAGGCTGGTAATTAACAGAATCAAAAATAATTCAGAAGTGTTTGGTGAAACTGAAGGTTTTGCTTTTTCCATTAGTACAACTCAAATTTGATTTTTGTTATGGGGAATCAAAAATAAAACACACAATGAGCCAGAGTTTTCTCTTGTTTAGGTTCAGATTCAGTAGGATACTTTAGCACATGCGTACATTTAAGTATGTTAAATCAGTGTTTGTCAACCTTCTTTTATAAAGTACCCCTTTAAAAAAAATTAAGTACCCTCAGTACCTACACATAAAATTTCAGACACATAAAATTTTTTCTATCATTGCAACACATTTGTTTAAACAACTTAATCATAGCCAGGTGGGTGATGAAATTTTTGGGTGTAAAAAGTACAAAAATAATAAAGTGCTGTAAAACTTAAAACAAAAATTCAATTTTCTCTGAATTCAGTTGTGTTGACGTACCCACCAGACTTCTCGCGAGTAGCCCTAAGGGTACTCGTACTACAGCTTGAGAAACACTGTGTTAAGAAGTCTTATTGAACTCAAGTTATACACATTCTTAAATGCCTTGCTGAAATGGGCTCTAGCTCATTCTTCTTAGATGTACCTCTTTATTGTAATAAATTATTCCTTCCATTTTTTGTGTTTTAAACTCTTCAAGTTTGTGTTAATTTGGTTGCTTTTTGCCAGCCACTACATATTTGTTTATATATACATGTATATATCGAGGCCTGCTGATGGGGAAGGTGGGGCGGGAGAAATGGGGGTAATTGCCCTGGGTCCTGGCAATTTTAAAGGACCAAGGCCCATGGCTGCCATCGCTGCTACTTCCAACCGAAGTGAATCCCCGGGCCCTTTAGAATTGCTACTGGAACACTAGGCAGCACACTCTAGAGCCCCATGCTGCTGCCCCAGCCCTGCCCCCTTCTGCTTGAAGCCCTGCCCCTCTTCTAGGAATGCAGAGCCAGGTTCCCACACACACATTGCCCAGGGGCCCAGCGATTCTGTTGACTTCCCTGTTTAAAGCTATATATCTGTATGCATACGAAAGTATCTTCTATGTTTTTTTAATCCTTAGTGAGTCATTGGACCTAGCACTAGTTAAGGATGGTATACCAGAGATGCTGTCACCAAATTCATGGACAGAATGTGATTTCCCTTTTCCTGTTATACCATGCATTTCCTATGTCACATGTGCAGCCTAATAAAGCCTATAATTTTTACCATAAATAGCAACACCCTGTACAAGTGAATATCCACTATATAGTGAACACTGTCTACTATTCTGGTCACTTTCCTTCACATGTTAGTAACAAAGTCATGTTACTATGCAATATGCTGCAAGATACCTGGGTAATGTGGTTTGACCATTCGTATTATTTTTTAATTACAAACATTCATCAAGAAAAGATGCATAACCCTATGTTATTAAATATGTAAATGACAGAGTATGTAATATCCATAATAAAAATGCAATATATATGTAATGGACTCATTACTTTTTGTAATGGGAGTAGTTCAAATAAAAGTGCCTCAGTATTCCCTATGAAGCTCCGCACTGCAACACAAACTGCGACTAAACACGTAAATGTGGCACTACCTTGAAAGGGAGTAACTTTCTCCATGATTTTCATCTGAAATATGGTGGGGGGAGGGAACCCAATCATGTGTAAATTGAATGAAATAAAAGCAATGAATTTCAATGTTATGTATTTGACTTCTTAACGTGCTAGTGGTGACTTTGTAGCAAGGGAGAAGAATGCTGTCTGAAGGCTCTGATTGAAGTGAGGGAGTCTTTGAATGAACAGTGTTACATATTGGAGCATGTCATGGAACAAGAATTATATCTGTGCCAGTGACATATACTTGGTCTCAGTCTTTTTGTTGTTATTAGCACATTCATTTCTGAAAATAAGAAGTAAAATGGGAGAAAGGAAAGTAAGCCTAGTGTTACCAACTATGACCAGTGCAAGAGGAAGGGAGGAAAATCATGGTGCAGTCCCTATCATTTCCACTTCTTTTGACATGGCTTTGCTCCCTACGGTGTGAGCATGGAGGAGTCTCTCTGCTTATTAGGAGCCCTGTTAAACAAGTATTCGAAATAGGAGGGTAATGTAGGCATACCGCAATTGCAAATGAAGCCCGGGATTTGAATTTCCCGGGCTTCATTTGCATAAAGCCGGCCGGCGCCATTTTTAAATGCCGGCAGTTCGAACCCCGTGCCGCGCGGCTACACGCGGCACGGAGTAGCTAGTTCGGATTAGGCACTAGCTACTCAGTGCCGCGTGTAGCCGAGCGGCACGGGGTTCGAACTGCCGGCATTTAAAAATGGCGCCGGCCGGCTTTATGCAAATGAAGCCCGGGAAATTCAAATCCCGGGCTTCATTTGCAATTGCGGTATGCCTACATTACCCTCCTATTTCAAATTAGGAGGGTAGTGTAGACATACCCTAAGTCATCAGTGGGCAACCTAGACTAGTGAGTGGGCTGCATCAGTGGTCTTCCATCATCTCAGTGAGCCACAAGATGGTTATAACCAAAACAATCTCCTGGGATAGGGTAGTTTTGCTAATTGCACTTATGTGCGATTGAACCATAGCAGCGCTTTGACTGAATGCAGAAGGAGCGCGTGGCTCTCTCAGTCAATGTTGTGTACAATCAGAATGAAACACACATACCTCTGATTTAGGAGTGTGTCATTTTAGTAATACTCGTGGTGGGGGTGGGAAACTATGTGAAAAGAAACCAGCAGAATCTAGCAATCTTGCTTATGGGCAATGGTAAACAAAACATCTCGTGGCCTGCACGCTGAAACATCATGGGCCACAGGTTGTCCACCATGAGCATAAGTCTATCCATGTTCAGCAAAGCAATTAAGCATCTGATTGGTTTGTCAGGAAACTGAAGCCTGTGCTGAACAGTAAGCATCTTAAGCCTTGCAGAATAGGGACCCGGAGTATTTTTACTTGGCTGGCTGTGGCGTAGAAAGAACCAACGGAGGAAAAGTTCCTTTGCACTCCTTCCTCTTGCACAATCCCATGAGAATTAACAACAGCTGCCACTGATCCAAAATGAAATTGTGTATTGTTTTCAAATGAAGTCCCTGCCTGACAATTTTTCTCTTCTATATAGGAGGAAGTTTATCTTGGTTTTATTTGAGCAAAAAGATTTAAATATTGTTGCTTTGGAAAGCATTCTGGAAAGTTCCTTGACCTGATTTTGATTGATGTGAAATCTGTCATTTTAATAGCTTATTTCAAAGAGCCTTGGTTAGCCACAGTTTTAAAATTTTAATGGTTAGCAGTGGTCTGTCACTTAATATTTGTCTTTTTTTTTCTTTGAAGCTTTACGTGTCAGCTGATTTGGGGAAAAAATGGACTCTTCTGCAAGAACAAGTGTCAAAAGATCATATATTTTGGTAAGAGGCATACCTTGTTGTTAATCTCCAATGAACACATGAAAGGAAAATGTGTCTGATACTAATCATGCTAGGTCTTTCCTGAGGCAGGAGGAAGAAGAATAAAGCAAAGCTGACATCTTTTGCAGGGGCAATTCTAGTCTCCTGTTCGCCTGGGTCCAATCTTGCAAATTCATACTCATATTTATTCAGGCAAACAGCCTCATTGAATTGAGTGTAGGAGTTTTTAGCATGGTGGTCTAGTGATCTGGATTTAGAGAGAATTTTAATGTCCACTCAAACTGCACTTCATTTTACAAATAAAACTGATCTTTAGAAGCCAGACTTATCATACTAGATTGGAGTGGGCAATAAATGGCTTGTGGGCTGGATGTGGTTTGCCAGGGTTAGCCTTTGGCAGGCCGCCAGACCCTTTATTTACTTGCACATCTGCAGGTATTCTGCTTGGAGCTCACAGCCGCAATTTGCTGTTCCCGGCCAATGAGAGCCACAGGAAGTGCCATGGCTCTTTGCCAGGCCACCATTTCCCTCAGCTCTCATTGGCTGGGAATGGTGAATCATGGCCAGTGGGAGTTCTGAGCGGCCAGATCTATGGATGCAAGTAAATAAAGATAAATAAAGCATGACAGGCTAACCCTGGTGAACCACATCTGGTGAACCACGGACTGCTTATTTCCCACCCCTGATCTAGAGGGAAAAATCTATAGAGGATGAATCTTTTGTAATAGCTACATCTGTATAGAAAAATGTACGTTGCCAGAGAAGCACATGAAAAATCATGTTTTTGTCCAATTCACTTCGGCTAATACATATGAAAATGATGTGAACTTTTTTTTGCAAGTGTTATGCTGTTGATTCATATTTAGCTTGATTCATATTCATATTTCACTATGGAGCCCAGATCCCTTGCCACAGAACTCCTACCTAAGCAGCCATTTCTCATTTTGTATGTGTGAAACTGATTGTTCTTTCCTGAGTGGAGTACTTTGCATTTTTCCTTATTGAATTTCAACCTATTTATCTCAGACCATTTCTCTGGTTTGTCCAGAAAATCTTGCATTATAATCCTGTCCTCCAAAGCACTTGCAACCCTTCCAGTTTGGTATCATCCACAAACTTTATGTTCATTCTCTGTCCTATTATCTAAATCATTGATGAAGATACTGAACAGAACCAGTCCCCAAACTGATCCCCATGGAAACCTACTTATTATACCCTTTCAGCCTGATTGTGAACCATTCATAACTACTTTCTGGGAATGTTTATCCGACCAGTTACACATCTACCTTATATAGTAACTACATCTAGATTGTATTTCCCTAATTTGTTAATGAGAAGATGGAATCATAGAATGCTTGAACTGGAAGGGACCTTGAGAGATCATCAAGTCCAGTCCCCTGCCCTTACTGCAGGACCAAGATCACTGGAGACAGCATCAAATGCCTTAGTAAACTCTAGATCAGTGTTTCTCAAAGTGGGCCAGATCGCCCCTTCCCATGGCCCCCCTTGGCTGGAAATGGCTAAACAAAGCCAATAGGAGCCATAAGGCTTTGTGGCCATGGCACCGGTAAATAAACAAACTGGCGCGGCCAGTTAACAGGTTTCTCAAAGTGGTTTCATAGACTACTTTGAGAAACACTGATCTGGATATACCATATCTATTTCTTCCCCTTTCCCCAATCCACAAGGCTTGTTACCCTGTCAAAAAAAGTATCAGGTTGGTTTGACACAATTTGTTCTTCACAAATCCATGCTGAATGTTACTTATCACCTTATTATCATCTAAATGTTTACAAATGGATTCCTTAATTATTTCCTCCATTACCTTTCTGAGTACAGAAGTTAAGCTGACTGGTCTGTAATTTCCTGAGTTGTCCTTATTTCTCTTCTTTAAATTAGCACTATATTTGTCCTTTTCCAGTCCTCTGGAATCTGTCTTGTAGTCCATGACTTTTCAAACATAATAGCTAATGTCTCAGATACCTCCTCAATCAGCACCTTGAACATTGACTTGAATTCTAATTTTCAGTTAGAATTAGGGAAATTGTTTCTTTATTGCTATATCTCAATTCTTGAATAATATATATCCTTAAATCAGTGGAGAATGTCAATCCTGTGCTATAGAAATCTATTTTATTAAAATATAGGGTCTTTATTTTCATGAATGGATAAAAGAAACTTTATTTGTGTAGACCTATTTCACTCTGAAGACCAAAGTTCAATTCCTAACATGAACTCCCCTATGAGCAATCAGTCATTACTGGAGTCATGAATGTCAGCTGTAGTTGGTTTCTGCCTATTCAAATGCCAGGTGAAAGAGTGGATTTCAGACATGTTATGCTCTGAAGGGGAGAGAAGTGGAGACAGGATTTCACTGAATCTGTAATACTAAATGTTGTGTGAAAAGCTTTTGAATGTTAAGCCAAGAATCTGTATGGATCGTCATTCTGACATTTGGCTCGATTGGTTAAAATAATATTTCTTTTTTATTTTTGTGTGGAAATCAATATGACAAACAGCACTGGCACTGCTGTTAAGGTGAGATGGTCTGGGAGCATATTTTTATTACAAAGCATTTAAACATGAGGAGCTGACACCAAGCAGTGGACGTAGGAAAGCACTGAATGAGCAGTTGGAAGGATGATTTTTAAAGATGACATAATAAATTGCCCTGGCCACACCCAAAACATAAAGCAGTTGTAATTAAATCATATTATTTTATTGCATAAATCAGATTATTTTTTATTTCACCAAGTAACTCTCATTCCCAGGAGCCATTATTCTTTAAAGTTAATCAGAGTAGACATTTGCAACAGGCTTTTTTTTTTAAATCCCCACAGTATGATATGTAGTATAAACAGGTTTTTTTTTTATTTGGTCCTTCCATTGTAAGCAATGAATAAATACTCTTTTCTCTGGATTTTTAAGCAGTGCTTTGCTCTTCAACTGACAGTGTGAATTATAAAAATCAGCTTCAATTCCAAATCTTGAACCTATTAAAGTGCTAATAAGCATATGATTAACTGATTATATTATAGTGGTGCTGAAGAACAGACAGCGCATACCTGCTAGTTTTCACTGGGTCTTTGGTAGGAGGTTCATGGTACAGCAATGGAGGGGGTTTTGTCTGTTGTTTTTAGAGATGGCATTGTTGAGGATTTCTCGACATCACTATGAACCACAGTGAATTGCATGAAATATTTAACAGTGGAGCCCTTTTGTGTGCTTCTTGTGGAATCTACTTAGTGTAGATGAACTATACATCCATGACAGATTCCACCTAATTAGGTACCAGAGTGTTACTTCAGATGAATAAAGAGATTAAAAAAAAAGAGAGAGAAATGAAATCACCTCTCTCTCCCCCCAAAAAAATAACACTGGGCTTTTAAAATACTGAAGTTTTGTCCGTGTAGAGATAATATCCAAAGGTATCAACTTTATATGTATAGTGTGTGAAAGGTTATTGTTTCATATTTCAAGATGTATTGTGTGTTAACAACTTGTGTTTTTTATTCCCATATATTACTGTTGATCAAATTATAAGCGAGTACCCCTTTTTAGATTTTTTTGTGTGATTGAAATAAGTGAAAACTGTTATGTCAAGCTCACAAGGATAACAAATAATTAAATATAATAATATTTGTTAAAACTATTAAAGGCTTCACAAACTCAGAAGAACAAAGGAATTCTGAAGATAGAAATTCTTTGTGTTCTTTCTGAGAAATGTAAAATTTGCACAATGTATGTGAGGATACGTATGCAGACACAGGAACTTGTTTTACCATTCCATTACATAATTTTTTATGCAACTCCCTTAAAGTCAATGTTTTAACAGTGTAAAAACTGATGTAACAAAGTTACGGGACAGGTGTTTAACCCCTCCCCTGAACTGCAGAATGCTCTACATAATTAAGAGGTCTACGTGGTCTATTAATATTTATTTGTTATTAGGAGGCCTATTAATACTTATTTGCATAGAATCTACCCAAAAGATGAAATTCAGGCCACTCATGGTGCACATATGGGAACAAAGAAGGCCAAACCCCATGCGGACTGATTTATCCCTGATTTGCAGCTTGTTTAGTGATTTACAGTCTTGTACAGTTGGGATAAGCCACTACCAGATCAGACTGGTACTTTTATACACATTTGCTACAGGTATGCACAACTCCGCAATACAATTGGTTGGGAGATAAAAAAATAAGAATTTAGGACTGGATAAGATCACCTGGGTCATGAAGTCCAGCGCCCTACTATTACAAGTGACCCTACAATATAAGCCCTTTTATATAATTACCAAACTCCATTTTCAGACTAGGTATGTTTCTTGCCCCACTACTCCCATTAGGAAGTTTATTCAGAACTTCCTCTGATGGTTAGAAAACTACTTCACATTTCCACCCTAACATTGCTCATTGGCAGTTTAAAGCCACTTGTTCCTGTGCCAACATTGTCCTTTAGTATAAATAGCTCTTCCCTTACCTTATTGTTTAGCTGTCTGGTACGATTAATGTCCTCTACCACTCCCCTCATGGAAAATTTCACCCAAAACAAAAAAGGTCAAAATTTTCAGTGAAAATTTTTGTATTTTCATCAACAAATTAAGTCCTCTCCTAAGTCAGCTGCTAGCAACCAAATACCAAACTATCTTTGACTGAAAACTGCCAAAAATTGAGAATTTTTTAGCTGACGACTGATGAAAACTGAAAATGTTTGAAGTCTCTATTTTATTTATTTTTATTTTTTTGGTATGGAACTAAAAAATAAAAATGTTCAAGGAAAGCAGGCACCTTGAGAAAATGTTTGCTTCATTGAAAACCCAAATTGATGGAATGTTTTCAGACAGCCATGCTCCACAAAGTACAAGCCAGTTGAAAATCTGGCTCTATGGAGTCCACACTCCATAGATTTTCCAGGGTTGCAGAAAGAGTAGTCTAAGGTAATGTCAAGGAGTGTGGGCCACACCTTCGACCATGTACTCCAAAGATCCACCATGCGCG